ATAAAAAAACCTGCATTAGGACAAATAACAGTAATTAAACAATATGTACATTCATAATCTATTTAGTGCATACATACAATTAGTTATTATTTTATGACGCATGCTGTGATGAGGACAGTGGTGTAGAGACGTGAGCTGTCGCCTCACAGCTCCTGAGGCAGCATAGTTCAATTCTGCTCTCGTAAATCAGTTTGAGTGGAGTATGCGTGTTTCCTCAGTGAACTGTAGGAATGGATTTTCCCCAGGTATTATTCTCCTGCCACTTCCCAAAACTATACAGATTGGGTTTGATTGCCTACTCTAAATAGTTACTTCCTCTGTAACCCTGAGAGGGACTTGTGTCCCATCCTGCAGGTACAGTATGTGCGCCGAGTCCTTCCCTGTGCCCTAGTTTTGAAGTCTCCTTCAATAGAGATTGTACTGTGGTCACAATTTCCCATAGCTTCTCTTACTTTTATCTTTCTCACTCTATCTAGGTCAAGTGCATGGATATAATCTGTTAAAGTGACCCAGATAAACTAACAAAGTTACAAGTAAAAGAAGGATTGGAAAATTGTGACCATAATACCATCTCTTTCTGAAGTCAGTTTCAAACCTGGATGAGTAGAGCCCAAAGAAAGGCTGACTGATTTTCAAAGGCAGACTTTAAGACAACAGGACAGAGGTGATTGGGGTAAAGGAGGTAAGGGGTCAGCAGAAAATGATTAGCTACACTTCAGAAATGTGTGGAAGGCCAGCAAAACATCTTGCCAAAGATGAATAATTTACAGTCTAGAAAATGTAGGCCAAAATGGTTTTATAGTTTCAAAGAACACAATGAGAAAGAAAACGCTTTAGAGAGAATACAGAAGGGACCAAGATGAAGCAAAGCACAAGTAGTACATTGAACTGCAAGCTCTGTTAAATCATTTCTAAGCCAAGAAAGATATCAGAAGAACCAGGAGAAAGTTAGAAAGAAATATAGCAACCGGAGCCAAAACTGATGCCAAGATATTTAACCAAGATTGCAAATAGCAAAGATTGGTGAGGGGAGAAATGAAGTGTCTAAGCGATGCAAATGGATATATTACAGAAGACAAGCAGGGAGTGGTCCAGGACTTCAATGATCAATTTTCTTCAGTGTTCAGAAGGAAGGAAATGAGCAATATGCCACAAGTAAAAAGACAATTCCACGAAATTCTAAACAATTTAGTCACATCAGTAGATGAGCTGTTAAAGACACTAGAGTGTATTTGTCCACTTACCTTGAAAGGAATGAGGCAAGCTGTCCGTAGACCATTTGCTAGGATATTTCAAATGATTCTCATCCTGGCAGGGGATGTGCCTGCTGTTGTAGTATTACAAATTTACCCATTCTGAAAAAGGGGACAAAACAGAACCTGACACTTACAGACCAATCAGACACACCTGTATGTAAAGCAAATAAAATCCAGTGTTTTAATTACATTTAAAGTTCTGGAAAAACTAAGAAGAACTAAATCTGAAGAGCATCTAAATGAAAACTGTTCTAGGAGATCAGATGGGTTTAGAAGTAGTTAAATCATTCCTAAGTGCACAATTAGATTTCCCTGCACATTAATCACTAATGTTAGGGCATACAACATGATATAGTTGAACTATCAAAAAGCTTTCGATAAAGTACAGTGTGAAAGACGAATCCTCAGATTTAAAGCTACAGGAATCCAAGGTAATGTATGCCCAAATAATTGGTAGAGAATCACAAAGCAAAGAAACACACAAGGGGAGGTATATCAGGCTGGAGTGAGTGCATTACTGGGGTACCACAGGGATCAGTCCTAGGACATCTGCTCTTTCCAATCTACATCAATGATCTCAACTCTTGTATAACTAGTAAACAGAGTGGGGAAGCAATAAAAAGGCCAATAAAAGTTGTTGCTGTGTTGTTAAAAGTTCAGAAATCAAATCAAGGTAAATTTTAAAGTGACAATACAAGAGTTAGACATCACATGGAATATTCAGGTTTGGCTTTGGCCACCACACGACAAGAAATACAGTATATTGCTGCAATAAAGGCTGTACAAAGGAGAGCAACCAGGCTTATTCCTGGCCTGGAGGAAAAGTCAGTCTAAGAGCACTGAATCCTTAAGGGGTCCTAATCCTAAAGTAACTGAGAGGATTACATGGGGACTTCACTGAAAGTAAAGCAGAGACTTCTTCAAGATCAGCAGTAACACAAGCTTCTTAGGACTCAAGTGGAAAATTAAGCTTAGGGCCACCCCTTTCTTACACAGGAGATTGTGAAGATCTTGGACCAGCTCCTGTGTCATGTGGTTGTTGTGGACTCTGCGGGATCATTAAAGAGGCAGAGTGTTTAGAACATAAGGCAGGTATCAAATGAGAAAGATGGACCTAATTTGTCACTTTTTATGCTCATATGCCTGCAGACTCTCACCGGCTACATGGATTTCTGATAAGAAGCAGACAAAATACTTCACTTCCTAGTTCTGTCTCTGTATGTCATTGGTGATGACTTTTCTGTGCTCCTTTTTGGACTTAAGAATTCCCATGCAATGCAGTCTGCCTAGTTATAAACCCTGCACCAAAATAATTCCCCAGAGACACCTATTGGAAACAAGCACATCTTTAGATGTCTGCTTTTGTCACTACTTTAAATTTTGAGTTGTTTTAGATCTGTTGGTCTAATTTATTTCATGTTTTATAAACTAGGTCAGGGAATAAGACACATAAGATTAAAGGGGACTGGTGAGGAATCATGAATCTGTGCAGTTCCCCAAGGAGCAACAATAAAATATAAATGAGGTGTAGAAATCACTTTTCTTTTCCCAGAGGTTAACCCCATCCTCGCTATTCTTCATCTTCCACAACGCAACCTAACGTTTGCAGATTTGTTAGTGAGATCCAGTATTCTACACAGGTGCAGTGTAAGTAGACACAAAAGTATTGAACCCAAAAAGCAGTCAAGTGAACAAGAGTTTCCCAATGCCCTCCCCTCACTTGCACGTCTTTTAATTTAATTAATTTAAAGTCAAATAAATCCAAATGGAATTACATTTTGAACTTTTACCAAAGACAATGCATGAGGCACATTGGTGTCACATTAAAACCTTCAGGTGAATATGAGCTTTAGGCAGTTAAACGTGTTTAGAATGGTGTTGAAGGATGCATGAGCGCTACAATGCTGTAGCGTGTCACACTGGTCTGAGTACAGCTCCTGCCAGTCAGACAGGTACTGTAGGCACTGCTCGTTCTTCCTCTGCAACTGTGGCCACCATCTCTCATGTACAGCCAAGAGCTGCCAGGTGAAATCTGAGCAGCAGGGAGAGAGGATCTCCTGTTGTCAAAGCAACTTTCTCACTGAAACGGTATAATTAGTCTCAAGGCTGAAAACACTGAGTCCGTCTTCATCTTTCCAGTGGCCCAAAAAGCCTTTGTCCTTTCATCCCGAAACAAGGTCAGAAGCCATTAATGACCACAAGGTGCAGATAAAGTTGTTTGCAAAGCCTCACAACAATGGAAGGAGCCACCGAGCCTGTTTGCTTCAAAGAAAAATTCAGCAATTTCACTGCTGAGTTCATGCATCTGTGGAAGACACACTCTAAACCTCCAGTATCGTAGCTATACATCAGAGGTATAGAGTACAGTTTAAAAAATGACCTAAAGATGTTACCACAATCTTGGAAATATCTCCTCTTCAAAAAAAAATAGAGCAATGAACATTTAAACTCAAAGGCAAAGAGTGCACACTTTCAAATCCTAATGAATCCTTTTTTAAGGATGAAAAGTAAAGTTAAAAGTAATTTATATGGATTTTCAGATTCACAAACTTTGTTTGTTTCCCAACCAATTATTCTGCAGTAAAGGAAATGAGCAAGAAATATTCTATTCTATCCCATAGCATATTTCCTTGTACAGTACATTAAAATAAATCAGCACTGAATGCATTTAGGGTTTAAATTTGTTCTTCCAACATGATTCTGTGTTCCATACATTATAGAAGTTACCATTTCTGGTGGTGTTCGTACTTTTACTCCTGAAAAAAAAGTGAGCCGTGTTCACTTAAACACAGCTTTTCTCCATGTAGTTGTGATTACGAATATCTTAAAGTACAGAAGAGGGCGCTGAGAGCCACATATTTTACAAGGCTGTGGTCCACAATGATCTGGAGCCTGGAGTATAGAGACTACAGGAAGCTGCAGTACACTTCAATAAAACAATATATTTATTACTATCACAACGCCGAAGCAATAGTAACACGGATGAACAGACGCAGCGCAACAGATACAAACTAGAAATTTGTAATACGCAAGCTTAAAATACTTCAGAGTATGGGTACAATTTAGTTAATAAGCAAGAGTTTGGGGCGTACTGAAATCAATCTTTTTCAGTAGCATATCATTTCGTCAAGAGAAAATAAACAATTTTTCCACTAGCATGAATCTTTGTAAATGAATGTATTTGACTTTTATTCCAAAATGCACCCTGAAATAAAAATCCCCATCTTCAAACGTTTCGTAGGTCAATGAGGTCAACACGGTGGATGACGCAGGTAGGATTTCAGAATCTGTAAATGAACATTTCGGGCTGGAAATCTTTCCTCGACGGAATGATTAGATTATGAAAATGTCTGAAGCGCACTTATTTTTTTTTGTATCCATTCATTGGGAGGAAACACGAGGGCTTTTAAAAAACGCTTAATCTAATTGACAGTTAACTACCCCACTTGCAAAGAGCGAAGCAATTAATAATGCTAATCACTAGGAATCCTTTTTTAAGTCACACAACCTAAATGCATGACTCTGAACAGGGAGAGCGATGGCGTTTAAAAATAAAAAGTGCACGAGTTTTCAAATTAGCGGGGCGCAGACAGAACTAGCCGTTTTCTACAGGCAGCAGAAACAGTCCGGGGAACAATTCTTTAGTTCTGCAGTACCACTGCCGTCGTAAAAATAACTCATCATGTCTCGTCTTAGCACACAATGCGCCGGAGCGACACGAAGTTGAAGCTGCACTCCGCCTACTGTGTTTTTGGTTGGTTTATAGAAGATCTTCATGATATGTAGGCACACGGGTCCGTGAATGGTTTGTTCAGCTGCCAATCAGCAACACATCCTTAGGCTTCGTTTAGCAGCGAAACATATCAGTTGCTGTGGAGTGATTTGACGGAGAGAGAGTGTACGGGCTGGACCATCAGTGCGCTTTACATCTCATGTTTCTCTTCCATTTGAAAAGATTGTAGAAATAGGTGACGATTTCGAACCTTGCATGCCAGGAGCGGAGGACTCTGTCGCCGGTCAACGGCTGTTTTTTAATCTTTCGGGTTTCTTTCTCACATGATAAGCTAATTAATCGGAGGCATGTGGAATTGTATAAGGATTACGAATTGCCTTTCAATAGCGTGCCTGCTGTTATCGTTGTGGACTAAGGTAAAAAATGCTGCTATTTTAGAAAATACCACTGCTGGGGAATTAAACCGAATAGAATTAAACGCGCCCATAACGTCTCACTTGATGTTAACGGATAGCGCAAAAGTTTGTTTTCTTCGAATTTTGTAGCGATCCTTCATTTATGAAATATTGAAATAGTTGGATTAAAACAACAACAACAACAACAACAAATTAAATAACGCAGCCGCCTGCCTTTGAAGCATGTGATCCCGTAATTCTATCTGAAGGTTGAAATGAAATTCCAGTTTAAATTGGGTTTTGTATCCTGATGGCACGCAAAGCCTGCTCGGGCTTCGAAGTTTGCTCTGCAGTTAATTTCTGTATTGCAGCAAAGTGCATTTTTTGTTTTTTGTTTTTTAAAAGGTGCTGGTTAACGACACTGAAACGGCACAATTTACAGCTTGCTGCTCAGACTTCGCCTTACAGTAACAATTAGGGGGGGTTCATTTGAAACGCAGCAGCGAGTTGGTGATCTTTTATATCAAACCGATACCAGGCACAAATTTAAGATCTCACCGCCGCTCCTGTCGCGCCATGAACCGCTGTTGATAGAAGCTGTGTTACGCTGTTGCCAGTGTGTTTTTTTTCTCTCTCTCTCCCCCCGCCCCCCCCGGAGGTTCTTAAATTAGTTTTGATATTTTTCCATTTTTTAATTTTATTTTTAGGTGTCCCATTCCAAGGGCTATTTCGAGCTGCAGTTGATTACCGTACAGAATGTGAACGGCGAGCTGTCGGACGGGGACTGCTGTGACGGGACCAGGAACTCCCAGAACCGGCGCTGCACGCGGGACGAGTGCGATACTTACTTTAAATTGTGTTTAAAGGAATTCCAGTCGCAGGTCTCCACCACGGGCCCGTGTAGCTACGGAACTGGATCTACTGCCGTCCTGGGTGGAAATACGTTTTCTTTTAAGAGCTCGAAGGGCAATAAAAAAAAAATCGAAGACGCCGGCAAGATCAAAATTCCTTTAAATTTCTCCTGGCCGGTAAGTTATCCGCCCGTCCTCCCCTGTTCAAGATAGGCTATGTTGAAATGTGGAGTTCTCGCAACGTAACCGACTGGAGTTACTTTGGCCCGAGGTCGGTGACTGCTTGTTCACAATTGTTGTGCCCGCAGCTGGGTGTTCTCGCAGTATTGGGATGTTGGAGAAATTTAGTCTGGTATCCTTTCTATAATATGTTTATTGGGTACCGTCCGATAGGGTAATGGAGTGTGGCGTTGACCTCCAGTGAAGATGTGTTTTTGTGTTCAGGTGCGCCTATTGCGACCAGTTAAGCAATTGCTTGCACTCTCGTCGTGGCCAATAGACTAAAGTTCTGTTCTTGTCGATTCCAGTTCCAGTAATATGTATTCGTGATGTTAGACGCATAGGACGGAGAAGACGGAGCTACAGTGACTTTTGTTTATCAGTGTGCTCATTGTACAGTATACTTCATCTTTTAATTCGTGAACGTTTTTATTATTATTTTTTTGGGGGGGTCATTCACCACACAACAACATGCTTTTTGCCTTCACAGCAGTATTTTCCGCACTCCTTTGCACATGCTACCTTACTGTTAGCGCCCTGCAGACGAGACCGTTCCTGGCTGCCCGGTGCTCCTCGCGCTGTCTCCTTGGCTGGAGAAGTGCGCGCGACTGGCCAGGCTGAGGAGGGTGCGCGTGCTGGCGTAGGTTAGGACACTTCCCGAAATCCAGCGTTTGCCGTGCACTCGCGCACCTGGTGCTGTACGGTGCCGGGTTTCTAGAACACTCTCCAATTCGTCTGGAAATGTGTCTGCATTATAAAAGAACGGGTTTCTCTCTTGGTTTCTTTTTTTCCTTTAATGTGGTGCTTTGTAATGTTTCTTTGCAAAATAAGGTGTACGTTTGCCTTTTTTGTCGAAGAATAGACATAACGTCTGTGAGAAGTGGTCATACTATTTGAGGAAATTGGTACCGTTTCAGTAAAAACGTCTCTTCATTTCGGTATAAGTATAAGCATTAAAATGTGAGGAAAACTACTCTTCTGTACGGAAGAAACATGCTGCGCAATGCTATCTCTTAAGGCAGCTCTGAGGTAGGTCACGAAAAAACGTAACTCCTACATGAAAAAGGGTGACAATCGGAGAGTTTCAGAGGAAATCTGAAGGCTAATGTATCTCAGACTGCTGTTAAAGACGCCGGGTCTGAGATGGGAGGCAGGTATTCCTCAGTGGAAAGAGTTGGAAATCGAGACATTGTATCTGGGGAGAGAGCATCCAGCAGGATTCATAACCCGTGCTCGGTTTGTTCTTCAAGCGTTCGGATCTGACCAAATTCTCCCTGTCGTCTCCGGGGTCTTCAAGCTAGATCAACCTTCCCTGTCCCTCCTTTCCGAGCTCTCTTTCATTTTTCCACTGCGTCAAAGTGAACTACTGGCTCGGGGCGCAGTTCTTCCTCAGAGGAAGGTAGCGGTTAACCCCCCTCGGAAGCCTTTTGACTTTATCACCCACCCGTCACCGTAAACTTCTCCCTTTTTATGTTATTATTTTTTTTCCCCCCTCCCCAACAAGGTCTTGCTCTCCGTGATTATAGTGTCTGCAGTAAATGAAGGAATCCGAGGCGGGCGGTCTCGTAGTTTCCCCCGCTCGCATTATGAAGATTGAAGCGAGTAGTGTTTGTTTACAGGTCTGGAAGGACGCCCGAACGCGCGGGGAGAGGGCTCGCCGGAGTCTGTCAGCTGAGTCTGTTGACATTGTGGGCACACTGTTCCGTTAGTGGTAACGGAACACCTTTCAGGTTCTGAGCTCGCCACACCTTAGTTTGCTGTCGGTTCACTTCAAACGGAGAGGGTCATCCCTGATTATTAATTAATCCGTGATTAAGTTACGTGTTCCAACATGCTCCCCC